CCTCCAAATCTTCCCCCCCGAATTTAGAGCATTACTCGTTGGTTTAGATGTACTTTTCCCAAGGAGATATAGTGACGGCCAGGCCACCTGCTAAGGACTGGGCTATACTCAGGACACACACACAGCATAGGCTTTATCATCACTGAAACACCATTCTCTGGGATGGAAACAGGATGCAACTAATAACTCACATGGAAGTTGCTGTTTTCTACACACAAATCAACAGCACCTTTACTCTACCCAAGGTTGTTTTCTCTTTACTGAGCGTAAATATGTAAAGTAATGAGATTTATACTTCTAGTTGGTTGAAATTCCTTTTTTGTTTGCTTGCTTTTTTGCTTAATTTGTCATTTGGAAAGCTGTGGGTTTTTTTTTTTTATTGTTGCAAATCAGAATTGATTTTTTTTTTTCAAAATTTCTTCCTAAAATATCAAAGGCTGAAAATCCTTATTTGGAAACAACATAGAGCATAATCTGTGCACTGCAAGAAGTTTTCTGGAGCCTGGTAGCAACTGCCATAAGCTCACAAATGAGTGATGGGGACAGCACAAGGAGCAGCAGATGTGGTCTCTATTTTGCTCTACAGTTTCCAGGTCTACCTTGTTCCCCAGTTCTGGGGCAGTCCTGCCACCCAAGTTGCTTTTGGCATTAGTAATGTTAGGAGCTAACCTAACCAGGAGGTCCTTCTTAGAGGAGGTTGGTAGGATCTGGGGCCATGCCCTGGGGAAGTCCCCATTAGCAACCAGCGCGAGTGGCTGAGCTCTCCAGAAACTGAGTCCACCCACATCCAGCAGAGTCTTTCTGAAAACAAAGACATTTCCTTTTAACTACTTGCTTTTGGCACATCAGGATTTTTGAGGTAAAACCTTTCCAAATTGTAAATCCATCAGATAATTCCTCAGTTCCAAGTTCCTCCGTATCCAAGAAACATGATACGACCTTGGCTGGGAAGTGCAGTCAAAAGAACATCATCACCTATTGCCTTTCCTGCATAGTTCCACAGCATACCTATTTTTCCCTGGATGGCTCCCAAGCTAAGAAAAGTCTCCTTGCTTAGTAAAATCCAGTGTTTTAGCTGTACAAGATACTATGAGTGCAGGCCAGAAACATTGCAGGTTCTTCTAAGACAGACGTTATTATTCTTTACAAGAGGGAAAAGAGAGACCAGGCTCATCCTGAAACTAAGAAATGTACTTATTGTTCCAAATTTTGAAGCAGTCTTTAGTGTTAGGTTATACATAAGGTCCTTCTGGCGTTTTACTGGAGATTGATACAATGCCAGAAGATAGTAAATTCTCTTTTGAAAATGAATGGCCGCTACACAGAGCTGCCAACTGAGAGTTTCCTTTATGGCAATAAAGAGCTTGCCAGGATAACCTCAGTAAAAAATGACGCTGATAAATACATCGGTTTAAAGGTAATCAATACAGCACTTCCATTATTCACACATGATTTTATTTTTTGGTCAGCAGAATATGTTTCCTTGCCCAAATTTTCCTTCCAATGAGGTACTTCAGTCTTTTTTCTGCTTTGGAAACAGAATACTCTATGACTAAATCATGTGTACACATGAAATGCTGTCAGTCAGCATGATACACCAGACATACACGAGGGCAGGATTTGGCTCTTGAGAAATGGTGGCATAGCATGTTTTTCAAATTATATACTAGTTTTCTCATCTTATCATATTCCAAATTATCTCTCTAGAATAAGAAAGTTAAAATAAAAAATCCTAGCTCCATTTCCCACTGATTTTTCCCTTTTAAATAACACCCTTTCCTGTGAACGTGTTGCTGATAGTCCTAGCTTTTTGTGATTTCTCTCAGTTGTGCCCTGGATTTGGATTTCCCTGGATGGCCCTGTTCTTTCAATGATGCTGTTCCTGCCTGTTTTCAGAATAATTTCTGTTTCACACTTCATTTGCATGTTTTCCTCTGCGTGGGGAAAAAAAAAAAGCACAAGTTTCCTTGTCTCCAACTTCACAACTGAGCAATTTTCCCCTTTTCTTCCCATTTCCCCTCCCCTGATGTAGAGCTGGAAATGTTGCTACTGTCATTCGTGTGCATCATTGTGGAAAACCATGAGCAGAAACCCCAACTATGGAGTGGGAAAGCATGAGCAGGTAGATGAACAACAGGTACACAGATATCTCTGTGATATCCCTGCTCTGGGAGTGCTCTTGGTCTCTGTTTCCTTCTTTTAGAGTAACACATGCCATAGACATGGGAGAAGACATAGCAGTTGAACCACAATAGATGATGACCCTGAGGGCCACAAACCACTAGGAGGACAAAGGGACATGCAGGCTGGAGATGAAGGCATAATTTCATCTTTTTCAATCCATGTTGGTTTGAAACCCTAAAGTTTTACTTGTAGGGTAAGTAGCTACTAAAGCCCACCTTTTTAAACACACAGTTTTCACCACTACTTTTTCCTGCATTGACAAGTCAAGAACTTCCTAAGCTCCACATGCAGACAGTAAAGACAAACTGAGATGAACAGTGGGGTCAAATCCCAGTTCTGTTGGGTTTACTCACCACTCACAATTTCACCCTCTCTCTCCAAATGCTGCAGCACACACTGAAAACTTCACCAAGTCAAAGATCACGCATGGCTTTAGAAAAATTACATCCCGTGTTAAAAAAACCAAACATCTCAGAACCAAAAGTATGATGGAAGAGTTCCCTGCATATCTTCAGAATTGTGCTATGTCTCTGGCAGTGTTATATTCACCAATGCCTATTAAAAAATGTTGAAAAATGAGCGTAAATATGGAAACAAGATTCAGGTGCTGAAGCAAAGCCCCAGACATGGCTTGAAACATTGCCTGATTCCTCTTCTCACTTACAAACCTTACTCAGTCAGTCTGAGCAGAGCTTAATTTCACTAGTTGGTGTTTCACAGTGTCCTACTCAGTGGTTATTAGTTGTTATTTGTATTATATCGTTAACAAAAGGCAGGCGAGAGCTCCATATAGCACCCCTTGCTCCTAAATTACAACCCAGTAACACAAGCCATAGCATTATACTGCTCCTCTTGGCCCTCATTACCGAGCACTTAGCATTCACACCCCAGTTGTCTGGTCTTTAATAAGAAATAAAGTTGTTTGTTTATTTTATACCTATTTAACTTGTCATTTAAGATTTACAAAAGGCCATCAATCTTTGCCTCAGTACATTGACCTCGGTCTAATTGTTGGGACTCTAAATTCTGCACAGATGTTATTACTATGAATTTAACTTTATATAGCAAGAAATTCAGTACTGCCATATGCCGGCTTTTATGAGCTTGCAGTTTGTAATGAATATCCATGACTAATGCTTTTGACCCAGGTAAGCCCATGATTATGGAAGGTAAAAAGTTTACTAAACTTTACTGCAGCGCTTTCAATAATTTTACCAACTAATACATACAACTCTGCTGCCTATGTATTGATATAAAAAATTGCTTGGCTCTTCTTAATATATCTGTCCCCATCCAGCACCATTCGGGGGTCCTGCAGAGTCAGTCAAAAATTTCTACATTAATAGATTACATAACAGAGAGGATAAAATGATTTTTTTTCTGATATCCAGTACGTCAGATATTTTTTATAGTTTGCTATTGGTTTGTTATTGTTGCTGTGTTTTGAGGTTGGTATTTTTGTTAAATAAATTGGGACAAAACTCTCTGAAGCTTAGTAGCCAGGTGCTAGAATTCAAATACACCTATTAAGTCTGTGGTTTTAAACAATTGCTGTATAACAGTAGGGAACACCTATTTGTAAGTAACTCAATCTGTATTAATCCTCAAGGATATGAACCAGATATTAGTTACTGTTCAAATTAATTTTCAGAACTACAACCAGCCTTATCAGATAGCAGATTTAAAACTGAAAAATTAACCTGCAGAAGCAGAGCTGCAGAAGCTGTGCAGTCCAATTAACTAGTCCCCAAAATGTGGAGAGGAGCTCTCACTGCAGACATGTGACCTCTACGCTGACTGTGTTGGCTAGCAGGGCTGATGATGGTCACAGGGACATGAGAAGCAAGGAAATGTAAGGTGGCAAAGGTTGCAAAGGTTATTGCAAGGCCTTGTTAAGGTTTAAGAGAGGGTGATCTGGCTTCAACAGTCCACTGACTTACTGAAATACAGAGCTGGATCCTCCTTTTGGGGGAAGATGAGGTACTACTATCCCCAAAATTAATTTAATTAATATTAAATAATACAACTTTCAGAGTAGGTGCCTCCTTTCTAGAGTATGGACTTGCATCCTATATGGGTGAAGTCCACTGCCATGGAAGGTCTTAGGGTGACAGCAGGAGGTCCACCTTTCTCCTGGAATTGTTAGTTAGGTCAGTGGTGAGCAACCAACTTTTTCTGAGAGTATTTAAAGTAACTCAGAAGGCAATGACTACTTTCCTGTAGATCTTTTGAACAGGTCATTAGAAATGAAAAGCAAAACGGTAAATAGCAAATTACGAGGTCTGAAAGTCAGATTTAACCCACTCAGTATTAAACTGCTGACACCTGAGTGTGCTGGAGGTGACCTACCAGGGCAGCTGAAGGTCACATCCCAGACTGTAAATACCCTGACTGCCATAACATCTGCAAGTAAAATCAATGATAGGTCCTTCTAGAAAACCACACTGACAACCAAAAGTATTAAACTCTTTACCATTAACCATTTTTCATGCAGCAAATGAATATTAACTAACACAGTAAAATAAGAGCACAGCAAGGTGATATTTTGTGTTTCCATTAATTAGTAAGAGATTGAAGGTGAGCTGAGAGTAAATACTTGACAGTGGCAGTACGTGAGCCCATTTATTCAGTGCTGAATATCATTGTTCATCTCAAATATCAATTAAAAAGGACCTAAATGGTAGCCAAGGAATACTGGCCCTGCATCATTAATTTTTTGTCAGCATTGCAGGAAGTGTATCAGCTAATCCTATTACTGCCATTTTTGAGTGTGCTGAGTGTTAGGGAAGGGATGCTCATCTCACCGTACAGCCGATCTCAATCCCAGCATGTTCAACGAAGTAACACGACATAAAACTGGTACGAGGTAAGAATCAAGTTTTCTGGGCGTGAATCTTCCCTCTTCTTCTTCCCACGTAGTCATGTTCACTCTGCAAAGTGAAGGTAATGCTTGACAAGGTGATAACAGAGGGTGATCCCCCTCACACAAGATAAGCAGTCAAACCCCCTCCAGTTCACCTGATCTGAAGGTAAAGGCCATAGAGGTTTTTTTTAATTTATTTTTGGAAAAAAAGTGAGCCTTTTTCCTTCTGAGTAGGACAAACAGAGCTCAGACTCATAGTGACCAGTGACAGAGTCTCCCTGGGCCATCCTTAGCTGGTGTTAGTATCATAGTTTTGAAAAACTACTGTGCCAGGAAAGAGTTACCAATACAGCACCAGAAACATGACTCCCTTGCAAAGAGTTCACTGCAGCTCTGAGAAGGCTATCCACGTTACTCTCAAGCATTCTTCCATGGAATTATGTTATCTAACAGTCTAGTCTCTTTTTTTTTCTGCCTCAGATAGTAACTTACTGTAATTTTAATGTCTTTTTTTGTTTAACTGTGATTTCAACTTTGTGTTTTACTGCTGTTCTGTTTTCACTTAAAGTGATATATTTATTCTCATTTAATTGATTATCAGAGTTAATGGTCGTAAGTCTCATGAATTCAACAGACAAAAGTACCAGAATCAGCTACTGACATGAGGGACGTTTTTGCAATACATGTATTAACACAGTTTGAAGTTAGCACAAAAGGAATTTATTCCAGACTCTGGAATCTGTGAATCTTATTAAACTCCCTTATTAAATTCCACTTCCTGTTTTGGGTTTACTGGGACTTACCCTAAACCAAATTCTGCAGGATCTCTTCAAGGCCCTATTATCCTCTTCCATGGCTTCTTCTATCTAAAGAATGAAAAATGCATTTCTCTTTTACATTTTTCGTGGTGGGGGATGAAAAGTGAATTTGCTGTCCCTCTACAGTTGACAGAGGTTTTGGCTTCTTAAACAGAGAAGCCCAAGTCTCAACTTTGCTCTTGCCTGGGACATTTTCCTTGGCCTCTGTTTCTAGAGATACACACAGGAGACACCACCACAACAAGAAAGAACAATAGTGCACTAAGCTCAGCTTACGTAAAGGGAACGAGAGAAGGGCCACCTTGCAGAAGTAGCAGAAATGCCCCTTTCTATGGGAAAGAGCTTTACATATTTCCCAGCTCCTGGTGGAGGACACATACAGAAAAGAGGAAAGGAATTCTCCATTTTATACATGACCTTACGATTATCCCATTTTCATCTTTATAATGTATATAAACATAAATCAACAATATTGAAACTGCTTTACCCTTGGCTCCTGGGATGAGGTAGGTGAAGCTGCTCCCAGTGTCCCATGGACACAGATTCCAGACACTATCTTAAAAGAAAGGCTAACAGAGATCTCTGATGACTGTCTCCGTTTCTGACTGAAGTCCCTTTGACCTGAATGAACAGTTCACTTGAACATGGGACTCCAAGATTAGACTCAGGGGAAGGGATTTTTGTCCTTGGTTCCAGCCAGAAGTAGAAAAGCCAGAGATACATGAAAAATAAGGAAAAATTTTATGAACTGTGATCTATCACAAACTTATTAAATTTCATTCTACCCAATACGAGCAGGAGGCAACAAGGAGAAGATACATCTGAGTTTATTAGCTGATAACTTTTAACTATTAAAGTAACCTTGTAAAAAAGGCAGAGCCACCTCAGGGTTTGGCAGGTGAATTACTTCCAGAATGAAGTGGAAATCTCAAGGTAGAGGGCTCGTAGACTTTGCTCTGAAATGCAACGTATGGTGAAGTTTAGCTGAAGTATAACTTCAGTTAGCTGGAGCTCCAAGAAAACAGGATCACTGTCAGTGAACCTATTGGTCTGTAAACGCCAGGGAAGGGAAAATGTTATTCCAGCTAAAGAGCGATCTGGAGAAGAGAAAGTAGGAAAAAGAAAAAGCAAGTGGGTATAAATTAGTCATACATCTATTTGCAATGTAAATTAAGAGAAGGTTTTTCAAACCACAGAGAACTGAGGCTGTGGTGCATCCTCACTGCAGGAATGGAGAAGTCAGGAAGCCGAACTTATCTCAAGTTGTAACTAGCTAATTTTTCAAAAGTGATTAAGTGAAGTGCAGCAGCAGGCAGGGGGACCTGAAGATCAGAAATTCCCCACCAGCCTTATCTCTATGTCCCTACCCAGCCAGTTTCCCTCACCCCTGCTAAATACGTTTCTCAGCTATTAGCAGTCAAACAATAACAAACTCCCGCTCATTGGCACAAATCATATCACAACCAGAACCACAGAAAAAAAAATAAATAAAAATTAAAATGTCAATAAATCTGAAGCACCGAAAAGTTAAAGTTGCTGGTTAATAACTAGTACCACGTTTGCAGCAGCTCCTATGTCCCCAGCAGCTCGGTGCTCGTCTACGGAGGCAGCTAACGAAACGGGAATTGGAGTGTTGCTCTTATGAGTCATTCTGTTTGGAAACCTTTACATATTAAAAAAAAAGAAAAATAAGAAAAAAAGCCATGTGTTAAAAGTATCTCTGCCAAACATGTTATTTCTCTTAAATATACAACAAAACACAACTGTCCTCAAGGTAAATATCCTCTGTTTTGTTACTTCAGGTCATTTTTCAGTGCTGTAATCATGTCATTAGGTTTGCAATTCCTGGCTCCAAAAGAAGCAACCATTTAACTGTAAACTTCTGGTTTCCCGGTCTATTTTGTCTGTGTCACTTTGAGGGGGACAACCAGAGTTCAGTGGGTCTGAGCCTGCCACTGAAACCCATGGCAGCAGCTTCAAGTCTCCTCGTCCACGGTATGTTCTAAGGAGACTCATTTTCTGCTCAGCACTGCAGTTTCTAACAGATTTTCAGGCAACTCATTCTTTCTTTGGCCTATAGGTAGAAAGAAACTTGATTAATAAATCACTGAAATAATTAATCTATAGGTCTTTATCAGGCCCCATAGTGACGCCCAGGACCATGCTACTTCTTAGCATTTACTCTAACATTTTGTACCTTACTCTGCAATATCCTTGAGGATAAGAGCTCAAAAACTTTGGTTTCAGCCTATTATAGCTAGAACAGGGTTACGATATGGGAATTCCAGTTGTTTTGTTTTCATAACTTTTTTGCAATACGTTATGTTTTATTTTCACTACCTCTGGAGCCAGGAAAGTTGCATCTGTCAGGAGCAAAAAATATGATAGCAGAGACCAAAGAATAACAAAAATGCTTTCACACTGAGAGGCCTCTCCCTATAATAACAGCATCCATCAATAATGGTAATAGCAAGTGGCAGCAAGAATTAAGTGTCCTTAAACTACCTTTATGCCTCTCTACACAGTGATGTTGTCCCATCCTGCAGACAAGTTTAGGGTCTCCCTTATGGTAAGGCAAGTCTGGGCACTAGGCAGATAACCTCCCAGGTGGTCCAGTTGGGTACAAAAGCTACATCAAGTGCTAAGTAACATCTCCATAGACCAAATCAGTGTAGAAAACCCTCCAAAGATGCTCAATGCTACTTTTAAAGATGGGCACCACAGCTCACCCCGGGCTTGCCAGCCCTGACCGACCATGGATGTGCAGATTAGAGCTCCCATGGCCCCTAAATAATAATTTTACTATTTGTTCTTTTTTTTTTTTTTAGGAATGAGATTGCAGATATAAGATGATACTTCAAAACCCGTTCTAGGTTATTTTTTAGCTCTCCATTGTATCTCTACATTTGCTGTGTTTCCTGAGGTCAAACCGGTGGCAGCTTTAATTACTTACAAGGAATGTTGCTAAAATGGGCACAAAGTCCTAAACTCAAAGTTTTCTTCATTATTTTGCAACTTTGGGAGTCTGCCAACATCGTTGCGAGATTTGGCATGCGTCTACCTGGAAAGAATGAGAGACTTAATATTTCATTTCAGCTTTGCAAGGTTTTCTCCTCCCTGCTTTCCCCCCCCTCCTAAAAAGAGCAAGCAGAGGAATTAGAAATGTAGTCAAAGGCCGGTCTCTCTGATGTTGGTATAGACCAACACAGCTCAACAGGCTTCCGGGGAGCTCTCCTTGAAAGCAAGAGCAGCTCCATCACAAGCGACTGCCTCTTGGTGGGTTGTCTTTTCTCCCCTTTCTGTGAATTTTGGTCCACAGGGGATGTTTTTACCTGCTCTTCCACCTAAGGGCAGTTTGCTATGAGAGGTTCATCACACTTGGACATGGAAGCATGAACTGTAAAGGCCAAGCTGATAACCTTACCTGCAGCCCAGTGCTTTAAAGCCGGATTTGTGTTTAACTCCTGGTTCAGACCTTTAACACAGAAAATAACCCTCATACAGCTGGTGCTTGGAGTCCGCAGAGGACTTTGTTTTGACACATGAACTTGACAGGCAACAAACAGAATTTTGTTGGATATATACTTTAACGGTTTTAATGTAAAATATTTTAGCAGCCTCAAAAAGGGATGGAAATGGAGGTTGCCACTGCCCACATCCTGCCCCATTCCCACTATGGGAAGTCACATTTCTGGACCTGCTTTTGCTCTGTGCCTGGGGCTGCTTCAAGAAGGAGCCCACACCTTCAAGGACTACACCCACGTAAAGTGAAAGCTTCCCTTTTGTTGGGTCAAAACAAGGACTCTGTGGGGTTGGGTTCCCTCTGGAAAATCATGATATTGAAGCAGAGTTTCTCACTGATGGGGACAGTACTTACACAGTGAAGATGCTGCATGGATGAGCGAGACTCCAGCATCCTCTTGGGCTGAACCACAAGCAAAGAGGTGCTCACCACGGTGCCAAGGATTGGTTCCTCATCCATTGGGGTGCTTTAGCTGTTGAATAAACATATTATTTCTGGTTAGAAACCCAGAGCTGTGCTCTTACTCCTCTGTGACGTCTAACTTTCTCCATGCACCCTGCAAAGACTGGCTAACTCCTATGCCCAGCTATGGTAATCCAGGAGGCCTACAATTTAAGAGTAGCTATGTCAAAGCCCTTTTGTGGATTCAGTCTTCCCTTTGTGGCCACCCCACTGAAAGGATTAAACTATTGGGGAAATGAAGTACTGTTCACCCTGAATAAGGATGTCAGCTACCGGCCCCAAAGAAGCGATGTCTCAGTATATTTCAGTTTAATATTCTTCTGTCGATGACACTGGTAGGAAATGGAAAAAAAAGGTAAAAGCTCTGTGGCAATGGGAGTGTGACAGTAGGAACTGGCTGTGTATCAGCACAGGGGCCGGCAGGGCTGTCACCGGGGCTGGCAGAAAACTCTCCCCACCCAAAGAGTTAAATTTTTGCTCTTCGCCTCCAGCGGTATAAATCCCTAGCATTTTGACTGAACCCCATAAAAGTAAATCAGCGTAAGTGAGGCCAGACTGCAGCCTGAGCAATCCTGGGGACCAACGCTGAGAAAAAGAGCCGGCGATACCAGGGAGCAGCATCTCCCACCAGGCTGGTAGCAGAATAGCCCAGAGTCAGCCAGAGAGCAGCTGGGAGGGAGCCAGATGGGCAATGAAAGGGGCACAGCGAGCTCCTCAAAAAATAGTTTTTTAATTGTAGGAAATTTTGCAAGACATCCCTGACATAAAGTTGAATTATTTTCATCTTTTTTTTTTTTTTTTTTTTTCAAACAGCAAAAATGTAAATGCTGCCGTTTGCACAGAGAGGGGTTTTTTAAGTTGTTGTTGCAAGGCTGCACTTAAAAGGGGGCTGGTATTAATCATCTCTACGTAAGGCAACTTTAAAGGGGCATATCAACCAATTATTTGGAGCAGCTGATGGGCAGTGGTTTATTTTGCTGGCTGGCGTTTTTTTTTGGAGTGGGTATCAAATGGGTCCACGTGGCACGAACAGAACATAACTCCAGATGGGAGAGCAGTTCCCATCTTTTGCAGAGTAAATCTGCTGTTTGAGACTATATTATATGACTGAAATTTTATACATATGACTTTGTTGGAGCTGAGATCTCTTCCTTTGAAAATGTGCTACAATAATAATTGCATTTACCAGTTGCCAGTCCTTCTCGCAAAACTTTTTTTTTTTTTTTTTTTTCTGTTCGGATTGTGAAATTAATTGTCTCTAGCTAATATAATTAAAAACAAACACTTCTGATTTCAGCGGAGGGAAAGGGGAAGGGAGGAAAAAAAAAAAAAAAAAAAAAAAAGCAAAGCAGCAAACTGCAGCCCCGATTTTCTATTGACAACAAGAAAGCTCTGCCATCCCTGAACTGTTTAATTATTGAAATGAACTGTAACAGTACACTGGATTGTTGCCGAGGTCACCGAGTAGTACTGGATGTCAAGAGGAAAGCAGCAGCTCCGAGAGCCCTCCAACGCCTCAGGCTCCCTCTAAAAACCCACACACTTTTTCTCAGGCATTCAGCCCCTGATAGGTAGCCCGATAGCACGGCCGATTTGCTAGTATTACAGAGGTCCAACGGT